GCATACATATCTATGCAGCATTTATATAATAAAAAATCAAGAATTTAATGTATTATCCAAATATTTATGTTAATATAATCGCAAATTTACATCAATTATCGATAATGTCATTGTTCTTCAATTATCCCCCGGATCCCATTGATACTCAGTGAACTGCACAAGTTACATGTAACGTATCTGTTAGTTGTAATTTCCCACTCAACAATATAACTGTAACATAACACTCGTATTATATTACAGTTATATTGTTGAGTGGGAAATTATAACTAATAGCGAATTCGATTGGACGCACTCAGTGCGCACTGGTACACATTAAAGCCGTCGTATACGAAATAACGTAAAGATATGTTTATAAATAAACATAGAGATCGATTAAATCGTGAAATACTTAATACATTTTATTGTACTATTAGGTAAAATATGTATTTCATAATTCGAAATATTTGCATTTCATTTTTATACTTAAATTAAATTAGTGTACAACGGCTTTAATATGCACCAGTGCGCACTAGTTCTTCCAATCGAATTCGCCAACAGATACATTACATGTAATTTCGTGTTCATTGGATAGTCACGAAAATTTACCCAGGATCGGCCGTCTTTAATAAAATCTCATCGCATAATCAAAAGAATAGAGAACGAGGGGAACAGAGAATAAGAATCTCAACCTATCAGAAACCACGTGAATACTGTGAAATATACAGTTTCCGATGGATTGAAATTCTGTTTTACGTTCCTATTCCTTTGATTGTGCGCAGCCCTTCAAAGACACAGAGCATATAGACTGCGCCATCCGTGTGTAAAATTGATCGATAAAAACGAGAGAAATAGGAAGCGAAAACGGCCAGTTTCTCTATCTCTCTTTCTATTCAACCAACCACAATATGTTAGAAAGAGAAGGAGATTGGCTGTCTTCACGCTTCCTCTCTTCCATTTTTGTCGACCACATTTGATACGCTATTTCGATACGAGTAGCCGCAGCCCATGCTCTAAATTTTTGGTCAATATACATTTATACAATTCTGAATCTCGCAGCCTAGCACGACCATGTCATCGTAACAACTCTTACAAAACGAACAATACGATCCAATGTATATGCTTTTTAAATCACGGCAATTAAATCGCAATCGCAGAAATCTTTTATATAAATCTATGTCCGGGACTACAATGAGCTGGTAATTTATAGTCGATGAGTCGGAAGTGAGTCTGAAGAATAGTCGGTGAGTCGGAATACTCGGAATTGGTCGAAATCAGTGAATCGATGGAATTGGCCAGCAGCCAAGACTATCGACTCATTGTAGACCCGAGCCATTGTTTTTATATTGTTTTGCGAAACATTCTTCTTCAGTTTCTCCCTTTTCTCTTTCCTCCGTGTGCTATCAACAGCGACATTATACTATCACGTATGCCGAGGATTGTGAGAAAATCCAGGGAACCAATTACCTTAATTTCGAGAACGACAATGAGATTAGATTCCAAAAGATTCGCGAGAGCAGGTCTCGTTCGGTGACCAAAACAAAAATCGGTCAAGTCGAGCGAACGACTATCAAACGTTGTTGCATATACCTGCATACATGTTATACATCTGTTATGTTCGACACGATGACGAACCAAACGAGCACTCGCGAGCGCGCGTGTCTGTCAATCCGTGCAACGGGAAGCGATTCGGGGAACTTTTGCACGTCTCGCGCGACTTACAGAGAGAGGTTATGATACGCATGCCGATACCACGACGCAACGAAATCTGACGGAACGGAAAACGTTGAGAACGAGGTGCATCGAATGGTCGGGAGGGACGATCATTTTCGAGATTTCGTCTATCTCGTTATAAAGTCAGGACGACTGCCGGACAGGTAATTACGTTAAGCGACCTCTCAGCAGTGTTTCCTTTGATAGGGAGGAAGAGGACAAGAGATTCGCGGAAAAGAAAGAATACGAGTATGACATCATACACGATATCGACTCGCAGCTAGTTCTTCCTCGATTACGTCTAATCACGATCAGTTGAAGAGAAGCACGATAACGTTACTCACCTAAATCCGCGCACATCCTCGTCGTAACTTCACCACTTCACCATTTCGGCAACTTTCATCGCGTTCGACGGGTTCGTTCGACCGCGAGTATTGTTGTCCTCTACTTTTTTAAAACCGCTAAACCGATCACTAATGCTATCTGTCGACGATTGAACGAAGAGTGAAAGCTGCCGAGAATCAGCAAGAGCTCTCGAGGCAACATGACACGTCAAAATGTTCCTAGGCTAAAGGCTAGATTGCAAATTGGCGCCAAGTCGCAAATTTTAAATAAATTTTTTTATTTGAATAAAGATTATTCAATTCATTATATATTTTGTTGCTATTATAAAATTACTTTATCATTTTTTAATATTAAAATCTTTATCAGTAATAAATCTTTATTGAAATTCTATCAATTGGGATAAAAAAAACAAACGTTCTTTTAAATAAATGGTGATATTTTCTTTATTTATGTTTTCTACGATATATAATATTTTCTTCTTTTATATCCAATATCTATTATTATATTTAATATGTTGAATTAATAGATATAATTTTTCTGTAATATATATTTTTATGTATAATTAATTTTTAATTATATTTTTCTACATATGTTTACATTTCTGAATTTTTTTTATTATCTCTATATCATGTATAAATTTTAATAAATATTAAAATTACGTAATTATTTTTTAATATAAAAGATAACACGATTCAAGATTATTTTTATTCAGATTGCAAAAAATATGTATTTTAACGATTTGGGAAACATAGGAATATTGGGTCTATTTCCTTAAGCCTGTTTTACAATACGGTCGCAAGCCGTAAGGCCGGAATCAGACTAGGCATTGGAGATTGAGATTGAAGGTTGAAAGATTGAAATTTGACCAATCGAAACGGAAGGAGTTAAAATTTCTTTGTCCTTATTGGTCAAATTTCAATCTTTAATCTTCAACCTCAATTTTCAATGCCTAGTCTGATTCCGGCCTAAGCCGTAAGAAATTAACCAATCGTGGTTGATTATTTTTGTCATATTTAACTGTGATTGGCCAATTTCTTACAGTTTACGATTTGATCAATCACAGTCGATTATCCCCTTCTTACGACTGTGATTGATCAATTCTTATAAATTACGGCATAAGTTAACAGATTAGTACCTGTATAAATGATCTTTTAATGCGGAGTCTACAATAGAAGTCGTAGCGGTCGTAGAGTCTTAAGTCGTAGAAAATTGACCAATCCTAATCGATTATTCTTCTCACATTTAATTGTGATTGGTTAATTTTCTACTTAAGATTCTACAATCACTACGACTTCTATTGTAGATCCCGCATAAGCCTGATTTATAATGGCCGTAACCGTTAATTATGCCGGTGCCGGTAAAGTTCAACCATAGGATTTCAATGCTTTCGTTCTAACTTGCCGTATTAGTATCAACGAAAGCATTGAAATCCTATGGTTGAACTTTACCGGCACTAGCATAAGTTAACGATTACGGCCATTATAAATCAGGCTTTACTCTGTTTAGGTGCAGCCACAATAGAAGGAATAAGGAATTAGGAAATAAGGAATAAAGATTTCAACCTATCAATATCGGATACACCGGAATACACGGTTTCTGATAGGTTGAAATCTTTATTCCTTATTCCTAATTCCTTATTCCTTCTATTGTGGCTGCACCTTTACATTTGCAAAATGCAAAAGCATAGTCAGAATTGTTTTATTCTTGAAATATTTGTTTTCACATTTTAAACAGAAGAAAATAATGGTTCAATGTATAAACCAATAACATTGAAGAATTTTACAACAGTTGCAAAACTGCTTTCTCTGCTGAACGCAGCCAATATCCATAATTTGGATGTAGTTGAACTAAAACTACATCACCGATGAGATATTATTAAAGACCGACATCCTTATAGGAGTTCGCGTCCTTGTTAATATTGAAGTGATTAAGAGTAAAAAAACTGATAATATTGTACTAATTTTATGATTTATTAGTTTAGTAGACGTGTTTATCGGTGTACGTGCATTTAAAACTCAATAATACTCGGTTTTTCTTTAAAATTGTGATTTCAGTGTATCGTCAAAGTTCGATTATCAACAGAAATAATAACTGCAGAGAAAAAAATTGTAATTTTTCGGCAATATATAGGATATTATAGCTTTACAAATATGCATATTTATTTATAGAGCATTTATGTAATAAAATATCATGAATTTAATAATGTATTAGTCAAATATTTATGTTAATAATGGCAAATTTATATCAATTGTCGATAATGTCTGCGTTCTTCGATTACCTCCGGGCCCTTGGGGCCCTTTTTATACCGCCGAAAATTTGCCCAGGGTTGACGGTCTTTAATAGTATCTCGTCGGTGACTACATCCATTTTTGACGCTGCGACTTTACCGACAGTGTCGATAATATGATACATAGTTCACATCCATTTTATAAAATTGATCGGTGTCGCTAGTGTGCGGGAGTTCCTAGGAATTCCGAGCCATGTCACAAAAAAGGCCGGCATGACCGATCCCCGAGTTTCTCTGCGGGAAAACGTAACGAGACGAAAGGGGAAGACGTGAGAGTAGTCCGTGATTATCGCGCGTGCGCAGCGATTCTCGTCGTTAGACCGATTAGACTAGGCATAGTAGGCATCAAGCCTGATCAAGCATCCCGGATGCTTCGTCCGTTAGCCATGTTTTCCAGTCAAATATGGTCAGTGAGCTCGTTGTGTGAAAATGCGTCCCACGGACATAAGAACCGATCTGTCGTGTAAACGGCTGCGACAGCGACAGCGACGACGACGGTAAGGACGGGCCGGTGCGAGGGCGACTGAGGGCGACCTGGGCGACGACGGAGACGGACGCGAGTGGCATGCGCTCGCACCTCGCACCTCCGGCGGAACATCGCTTGCGTGTCTAACGACGGTGGTCGTCCTCGGAAGCGGTGCTGACCTCGACGGTCCCGGGTCCCCCGAGGCCAGGCCTTTACTCTCGACGACGCGCGTCGGAGCCTGTTGTTGTCTGACGGACTTGCTTCCGACTCAATGGAGCCGCGTCCTTTCACCATCCTGCTGGCTTTGTTGTTGACAACGCTCGCACGAGGTGAGTCCCTCCAACTCGCTCGCTTACAATCGCTTACAATCGCTTATCCCGGCGTTTGTTTTCGGCGACGTTTTCGCGATTCCGTATCTTCGAATCTTTCTCTTATCGTATAAGTTGATTGAGAGCCTTCAATATAATACATAATTAATCGTGTCGATAATTTATCGATTAATTATCGACACGATTAATTATGTATTATATTGAAGGATCTCGCGCCAAGTTCATCCTGTAACACTATTCAGGATCCCTATTCTTCAAAAGAAACGTATACGAAAAACTAGAGAAATACTATAGTATACGTTACATATGTCATAGTATTTCCTTGATAAACCTTGTGACCTTAAGAGTAGAAAATAAATAAAAAAGAAGATTCATTTTTCCTCTCGTCGCAAGGGATTCCCGAGTCATTCATGGCGACGAATTCGATTTAAAAGCGATGACATACGTCGCTCGTTATTCGTATGTTTCTCGTCTGAAATTTCAGTCGGACCCTTCGGGGAAATTTTCGCGCGAATGCATTTATATAGAGAGAATTCCGCATCGTTGAACCGGGAAAGCGATCGACCTGTCAACGGACGCGCGACGCGATGTGATGCTGATGGATTTGCGAAGGCAGTTTCTCGGCCGCAAGTGCAACAATAAATAGAATAGGATCGATAGCCGTTGAAAATAAACGTGACGATCTTCGTTTCGGCTATATGTACATTGTACATACGTATGTATGTACATACATCTTGCACTTGGTGCAGTCGGGGCGGAATAGGCGTACGCAGAGAGCGCAGAGAGCGCAGAGAGAAAGATGAAAGCGAAACAATGTGTGCGAAGAGCATGCAATTGATACGAACGGATACGGAAGGTTCGTCAAAGCTTCGTCAATTTTTGTACCTTTCATTCCCGGCTGCGAAAGAACACCCTATAAACGCATAATATTATTTAATATTAAATAATATTCCTGAAATATTAATGGATGGTTATATGTCCACTTATATAATAAACCTAGGTATTATATTTTAATATTCCTGAAACATTATTAAAATGTTATATTTAATATTCTGAGAATATGCCTAAAATATTATTTAATATTAAATAATATTCCTGAAATATTAATGGATGGTTATATGTCCACTTATATAATAAACCTAGGTATTATATTTTAATATTCCTGAAACATTATTAAAATGTTATATTTAATATTCTGAGAATATGCCTAAAATATTATTTAATATTAAATAATATTTTAGGCATATTCTCAGAATATTAAATATAACATTTTAATAATGTTTCAGGAATATTAAAATATAATACCTAGGTTTATTATATAAGTGGACATATAACCTCTATAGAATACTCCTGTAATATTAAAAAAATATTTATGATATTTTCGAAATATTATAATAACATTATTTTAATTTTTTTTTTAATAATATTCATGTGACATTCTAGGAACATTTTGCGCTTATAGGGCAGACTCGTGTTCGTTTCGCAATTGTAACTTTTATCTTCAATTTATTCATGTTTTTCCCTTTTGTATATTAATTTCATTTGTTTTAAATGCTATTGAAAGAAAACCAGCTCGTTAATGATCGCAAGACTGAAGGTGGATGTGCGGAAAAGCGAAACGAGATACGTGTCGTGTCTCGTCCGATTCGATTTTTCTCATCGCTGAATCTATTATCTCTCAATAATATTTTTTCGTATAATTATACATATTTTGATTGCGTTTTAATGCCTCTTAAAATTCTAGATTTGTAATTATTGATAAATAGCGAATTCGGTTGAACGCACCCAGTGTGCATTGATGCATATTAAAACCGTGATATATAATTTAACGTAAAGATGTGTGTTTGAAATAAATATATACAGGTTAAACCGTGAAATCCTCAATGCATTTTATTATGCTGTTAAGTAAAGTTATGTATCGTATAATTTGAAATAATTGCATTTCTCTTTTATGGTAGACTCGGATTAAATCAGTATTCAGCGGCTTTAATATGCACTCGTGTGAGTCCAATTGAATTCGTTAAAAATCAACCACTTTTGTAACTTTAATAAAACAATTTTTTTTTAATTATACGAATATTGAAATCCATTTAGTCTAAAGAGATTAAAAATATCAATTAAGAAAAGTCAAAGGATTTCCCAAGAAAAAGGTATGTAAAGATAAAGAAACATAATTTTCTAAAAACAGACTTTAAACATTTTAATAAAAAATAAAACTGTCTTATTTGTTTTTTAAATAGAATTTTTTCCCTCAAAATAAAACCACATGCCCCCTCTTAAAACATCGTATACATGTCTTTTTTATACCTAGTTTTGTTGATTACTGAAAAACAATCGCAGTTTTTAGTGGAGCACCACTTCTGAACATTTATCGCGAAATTAAATGAGAGTCAATCAGAAATATAACATTTCTACGAAATTGAAAAAAACATCGAGAGAACACACATAAGAATATCAAACCTTTTGTTTGTTTTTGTAACATAGTTTCCTAAGGATTCGTCTCTTGTCAAATTCCGAATCAATTTGCCGCATTTTGCCTTTAATAAGATCTTTATTCAGGATTTAATTCAGGACTCACATATTCAGACATTCTCGAGAAAATGATATAATATTTCTAGCACCTATAGTACCGTTAGTTTTTAAATAATTAAAAATGGTTTAAAAATTAACGTTGACTGCTACGCTCGGGATTCCGAGTTCGATTTCGGAGGACAAGAATTTCTTTTTTCATTTAAATCTTATATTTTAAAGTTGCTATATATAATTTTTAAACCGTTTTTAATTATTTAAAAACTAACGGTACCATAGGTGCTAGAAATATTTTATCGTCATTTTCTCGAGAATACCTGAATAGATGTGGCTTCAACATAGTAAAGAGTGAATATTATAGCATTTCTGAGTAAATACTATAACACACCCCTAAAATTTTATTAAAATCAGTGACTGGAGACTGCCGGGTTCTTCTTGTAAGCGCTAACTGATTAGTTTTCTCTGCTGAACGCAGCAAATAATCCTGTAATCGTTTGTCCTTGTTATTTATTAAATGTTAAACAGGACAAATGTTGCACGCGAGCGTTATGAACACAAAAAGTGAAGAAAGAGTGAAAATACTACCACTCTTGAACAGGAGTGGTAGTATTTTCATTTTTTTTTTTTCAAAATTGGCTTAATTTTCAGTCTCTTCGAGTAAGATTTCACTCCACGATTTAGAGAGTGACTAGGCTGTTGATTCCCGAAGGAATTCACTGGTATGATCCAGCCTCTCGACGTGTACTATTTCTGGCCGTACAAGCAATTTATACGGCATGTATCCCTTGAAATACGATGGAATTTAGAAACGCGACAATTACTTCAAATTGCAAGCATTTGTTCATTTTGAACTCCAGGCGTCCATATTTCGTGACATGGTGAAACATACCTTCTACAGGGTTATCTGGATGAGCGGCCGAGACCATTAAAAATCCCGGCGCAATTTTGTTTTTTATTTGACAAGTTTTTCGTCTGCTCACATCCTAACTATGAGCAGTCTTCCGATTTTAAATGTGCATACTACAAATAATGTTATTGTTTTAAGCACTACTTGCTTGATAACTTATGCATTAATTATACACATTTGAATTAACCATATCAATTAAAATCACTTGAAAAATGTATTAATTTCTATTCTATAGTATGTACATCATATTTCATTGTTCATTGTTATTTTTTGTATAATAATTGTAATTCTTATTAAATGAACATTTGATTCTATGCATCAATCACTTAATTACTAGATTTATGGACAGCAGTGTTGCTGACACTTTACCTTTTAAGCTCCAATTTGCATTATCTGGTTATAAATTTCTCGTATCTTGCACGTCAATAATGCTTATTATTATTATTATTATTAATTGTGAACACACAAATCCATATGCATAAAAACTCTCTTTGAACTAGTGGCCATTCTCATGCGATTTGACTGCGTGTGCGTGTTTGAGAATGCAGTGATACCTTTGTGAACCTCACGGGCAGCCTTTCTTGGTCCAAAAATCTGGTAATACGCGTTACATTAGCAAATGGACTTTACATGTCACTCATTGAAGGGTACTCTATCAGATGATCACAAAACCATCATCACTTTTTGACCATTATGTGACGGTCCTTGTGAGAAGTATATTCCTTCAGGGTAGTCACGATTCTTATTTGGAAGCGCAAATCGTTCTGATAAATTAAATTTCAATTCACGGAAATGGCAGAGAGTTTTTCATTGTCTCATTATACGGCGAAAAATGTTATTTCCTCTGTCATTAATTTTTTTTTCTCTGTTCGCAGTCAATGCGGGAGGCTTGGATTTCACCATCGAGCCGCGGGATGTGGTGGTGGAACAGGGAGGTTCTGCGAACCTGGACTGCGAGGCAAAGAGTGTCCTCGGGACGCCGAGTATACAATGGCGCACAGATGACGGACAGCCAATCACTTTTATCGGAGACAGTTATCGGTAATACTCATGATGTGCCTGTTTTTACGAGAGATTCTCTGTTGGCATAACGTCTTTGCGCACTATTCGAATTCTGACGAAACAATTCCCAATTCTCTTTTTGTAGATCACAGCTAGCAAATGGGTCCTTGTACATAAATAGCGTATACGCTGGTAGTACAGAATTAATTGGAAGTTATCAGTGCTTAGCATCCATAGACAACGTCGGAGCGATTGTCTCTCGAACAGCCACAATCAAACTAGCAAGTTGGTATTCGAATTTTTCAGATCCTAATGTATAACACGTGCTTGAAGATTCCCCGAAAAAGATGATGCTTGACGCCGTTTCTTTTCTATCAAATTGAAATAATTTTCAGAAATGAGAAGTAATTGCTTTAACTCGTTATATAATGAGGAAAGGAGCTATTTCTTTTAATGATCAGTAGTAACGGGCAATGGTAACGACTCAATACACAGAAAGGAATTGAAATAGATAGAAATGAATTCGTGTAGTCATTGTCGAATCCAAATTCATTTTACAATGTATTTTAGAATGATTAAAATTGTACAACAGGAGAGAAGGAATAATTTTTTTATTCCGAAAAATGATAACACACTTCTGATAGCACTTATGTGATAAATATGACATTGACTTTCTTTAAAGGTCTCCCCGGTTTCGAAAGAGAACCTCAAGACACCATGGTTTATGCGGGACAGATTGCATATTTGAGTTGTGCGCTACCAGCTTCCTCGAGTTTGTTGAAAATACAATGGTTAAAAAACGAACATCCTTTAGTACTTGATGAAAGTCGAATGACAATCCTGCCTTCAGGTACAATGGAGGTCTACGGTTAATTAAGATTTTCTAGCATGTTAATTATTGTTATTAATATAATTTATTTTATTGATTCTCACAGGCGCGTTGGAAATCGACAATGTTCAGTATCACGATGTGGGATCATACAGATGTAACGCTAGTGGCTACGGTCAATACAGACTGAGCAATAAAGCACAATTAGGATTATTATCTAGTGATATTGGTAAGCCTAATATCTAAATAACAAACGAATTAAACTCAACACAATCAAATTTATGAATATCTTTTAATCGTACAGATGAGGGATCTAGTGCTCCAGTATTTGTGGCACAACCCTTGCAACAAATAGTTACCGAGGGATCCGATGTGACCTTGGAATGCGCTGCCAACGGCTATCCGAAACCGTCGATTTTTTGGCTTAAAGACGGCGTCGCTCTCGATTCAGGAGACTTGGTTTCCAACGAATCTGAATATCGTATTTACGAAAAATATGTCTTTTTCAAGATATCACAAAGTCGCAGCCTCTAGTCTCGTAATCACGAATGTCAGAGAATCGGATCACGGTTCGTACCAATGTCGCGCAGAAAATATAGTCGACTCTCTGGACGCAGTTGCTGAATTAATCGTACAAGGTATATTTTCAGCGCACGAGATTTTAATTATTACTCTACAGTGATATTAAAGTATAACGCTTCATTTTAATTTAAACCCTCAGTTCCACCGAAGTTTATAAAGAAGCCGGAGGATAAATTAGCGAGTGAAAGTCAAGATCTAGAATTCGAATGCGAAATCTATGGGAAACCAGAACCAAAAATTACTTGGCTAAAGAATGGCGAGCGTATTACATTAAGTGCATATTGGCAAATTGTCAATGGGTGTGTGTTTAGATTTTATGTCGTTGAAGAAATTCTATGAAATCATGTGTTATTCATGTTTAATAAGTTATTTTTGAATTTGCAATATTTTTGTTTCTAGATACAATCTGAGAATTAATGGACTATTACCCATAGATGCTGGAATTTTCCAGTGCATGGGAGTGAATCCTGCTGGTAGTATTCAAGCTTCAGCACGTCTTACAATCAATCAGCCGAGTGAGTCTCACGAATTAAAGTATAGATAAAACTTTTTCAAATGTATACATTCTCTTTTGTTAATATTTTTTTAATATTTGATTATATATTTATTTATTGATTAATAAATATCAAAGTTTTTTATTTTGTTTCTTTATATTTATCTCTTACATACACTTTTAAATTTTATTTTTATTTTTACGTTTATTTCTGTTTGGAATTTTAATTGTATCTTTATTTCTTTCCCGTGTTCCTCGTTAATTAACTGTTCTGCATGTTAACATCACGTATGCAGAGAGAACGAATCTGTATAGAACAACTCCCAAGACAGTTCCTAAGAAAAAATTATTATTACACCGACAGTTGTATAATAAAACATGGCAACATCCAAGTACTCTCCTAGGACATACGTTCTCGTCGAATATGCCGAGTCCTCCGCTTTCGATAAGTCCTTCTGATGATCCTGCGGATCTTCTTCCGAACTCGTTTAAATATCCTAATCCCCTTTACGATCCAAACTCCCGTTTTGTAGATGATACAGACACCTTAGAAGCATTCGACGGGGGTGGTATACCCTCTCCACCGAGGAACCTAAGTCTTGTCATCGTTACCGCGAGATTCGTTACGCTACGTTGGCAAGAGCCAGAAAATGCAAACAGCGATGCTCTCAATTATTTCGTATATTATAAACAGGAAGGGGCCATGAGGTAATTATTCTACGAAGAAACGAGGATATACGAAGTGTCCCAGAATATTTGGGACAATGCTCGTATGCAGATAAGACGAACTAAATCGAAAAGTCCTCTGCCATTTCTCAATTTTCGCAATAACGAGATATTAATTTCTAAACTTCATTGAACAAGCGCGTATCCACTTGGCCATACACGTCCATTGGTCATGGTTGCGAGTTGTTTTACTATAGTTATAATAATATTATGCATTATAATAATATTATGACGATGAAAGAAAACTCCGCGCTAGGCGGTCATATCTTGCTACATATTTGCATTGACGGAAGTCCGAGCGGATAGTGTGAATACGCGCTCATTTGGAGATTTTTAGAAATTAATATCTCGTTAACTATATTGCGAAAATTAAAAAATAATACAGAACTTTTCAATTCAGTTTAGTCCGCTCTATCTACATACGAACAATGTCCAAAATATTCTGAGACACCCGTATGTGAGTACAGAATGACCAAACGTCGTATATTCGCATAGGGAGAGAGTTGCCAACTCGCTGCAGAAACTAGAAGCCATGATACGCGGTTTGCAACCCGGTATGACGTATCAATTCCATGTAGTTGCGCAAAATCCTCGGGGAACCAGTGCTCCTAGTGAAGTATTACAAGTTACAACGCTAATAGAGGCCAATGTTCCTGGATTTCCGATGAACCTAGAAGGTCAACCGACAAGCAGTATGAGTATTACCTTATCGTGGGAGGAGCCCCAAGTTATTAACGGTCGAATATCTAAATATATAATTACATTTATGGAGGTATATAAACTTTTTCTGCAAGTAATTGATGTCAAAGTGACAATATCAAACGTTATTGCTTATTCACTGTATAATTTTGTCACATTTAGGGCGATGGTGAGGAAATAACGCGTGAAACTACCAGTACAACGTATGAATTGGTAGATCTTGTGCCTTATACGGAATACAGTATTAGAGTTCAAGCAGTCAACGAAAATGGCCCGGGCGCGTTTAGTAAGGATATCGGTATACGGACTTACAGCGCACAACCGACGCAACCACCGCATAACGTTACTTTAGAAGCAGCTAGTTCAACGGTATCTGAATACATTATAAACAATTTAAATTGATATAGTACAGATTATTCAAGAAGCTTCACTAAATGCGTGTTTTCTAGAGTATTATCATAAGATGGGAACCTCCACTCGAGGGACAGAATGGGATCATCACAGGTTATAGAATACGCTACCGTAGATATCCGCACGATTCTCGATCTGGAGATCGGCGATCCCCGATTACGGTAACAACTGAAGGAAATCAACGTTTGTACGTGCTCACTGGGCTCGAGAAGCACGTTGTGTATCAAGTCCGCATATGTGCCTTCAACGTCAATGGAACTGGGCCTTGGACAGAATGGACGAAAATAGAGACATACGAGAACGATTTGGATGAGACGAAGGTACCTAATGCACCCAGTAATCTGAGAGGTAGGAATCCATGTGTAAAATAAAATGGTATTTTAATTATTGATTTGTTATAAACTTCGCATTATTATTATTATTATTATTATTATTATTACAGCAAATGCTATGGCGGATTCTATATTAGTATCATGGCATCCCCCGAAAGATCAAAGCATCAAAGTGAGAAAGTATAAATTAGGCTGGGGCAAAGGTTACCCCGATGTCGAGATACAAGTTCTTGATGGAAAACAACGTTCTTACGCTATTAAGCCTATAGGTAAAATGAATGCGACAAACTGTTTTACTTTTAAAATATTTTTAATTTCATTTCATTTCATGTCATGATATTAGAACCAACAATGGAATATGTAATATCTCTAAGAGCAACGAATAATGTTGGTGATGGTCAACCAGCATATGCAAACGTAAGGACTCCCGAACGTTTTGTATCTGAATCTGCAGTGCCTTTAATACCACCCGTTGGCCTTAAAGCTATCGTGCTCTCGGCTTCTACCGTTGTGCTGTATTGGACAGACACGACTTTATCGAAAAGTCAAGTACGTTTGTATTTTATATATATATATATATACACACAGGGTGTTAGTTAAGTATGTTGCCATACTCAACAGAGCGATTCTTTTTATTTAAAAAAGTTCATATAAACATGTGTCCTAATAAACGGCTTAGTTTCCGAAATAAAAAAATTTAAACGTGTAATAATAATCTGTTTATTTGAAAGAAATACAGCTTGAACTAGTCAAAAACTAGTCAAAAACAGAAAAACAAAAACAGGCTTCAGTTCTTCTGATGAAATAAAACAATTAGATGAATTGTTGAAAACGTTATGTACAAGCTAACCCGCAGCAATATCAGAACTGAAGTCTATTTTTGATTTTGTGACTTTGACTTTGTCACTTTGTTTACGGTTGTGCGAATGGCAACTTACGTGAAGCAAGGCATATTTATGCAGGAAGATATCTCCAATGCAATTTACCGTTTCGTCAAACATTTGCGAACATTCACCTGTATTTCGGAAACTAAGCCATTTAGGACGTGTTTATATGGACTTTTTTTACTTGAAATAAATCAAAGAATCGCTCTGTTGAGTATGGCACATACTTAACTAACACCCTATATATGTATATACAGGGTGTATACACAGGGTGTAATAGAACGATCGTACCAGGCTAATTTCTTGAAATTCTTGAAAAATACGCATTTTCTTGAAAAATGTTTTAGACAAAAGACCTTGACTGACCTTACCACTAATACGAGTACAGACTCATACCATCAGTGAATAGATCTTTTGAAACCTTACGACTTTTATCTGAAATACTTTTCTAAAATGCTTAGTTTTCGAGATATTTTGCTGTCCTTTTTATACACTTTATATATAAACTCTCAATTTATTATAACACCTCATAAGATGACGTATGTAAAGTAAAAGTTAGGCAGGAAATATCTGTAGTAAGAACATTTATTTTTAGTATATCACCGATAGTCGATACTATGTGGTGCGTTATACATTCTACCATCACAGCAGCAGCCCACGATACAGATATTATAATGCTACCGATCTCAACTGTATGATTCACGACTTAAAGCCCAATACGCAGTATGAGTTTACAGTTAAATTGGTCAAGGTACGAGAGAGACACGTGGATTATACAGTTTAAGGAAACATCAAGAAAGACAAATGTTCTATAGCATAATTTCTACAGGGTAAACGAAGCTCACCGTGGAGTATGGTCGTTTTAAATCAAACTCAAGAAGCTGCACCTAGCACGGCACCTAGGGATCTTATTATTCAAACCATCGAAGATCGTCCAACCTCTGTTCTATTGCGATGGCAACCTCCTAAACAACCCAACGGACAAATCACAGGTTGGTGATCTAAATTTGAGAAAAATGGAATATGTTTACTAAACCGAATTGATTTTTATAGGATATCTCATAATTTATTCTACCGATAACACGAAATGGGATCGTGATTGGCTGGTCGAAGGTGTCATCGGAGACAAAGTGGATGCCGTTGTGAAGGGTTTGCATCCTAATACGATATATTACTTCAAAATCCAAGCTCGTAACTCCAAAGGATATGGACCATTCTCTACGACAGTTTCATTTAAAACGCCACCAAGTAAATAATTTGATTTTTATTTGTCGTATCGATGTTGATTAATATTAAATTTGATTATTTTTATTTTTATACAATTGTAATGTATACATATATGTATAAGTATATACACAGGATAATGCCTGTATTAATTTAATTACATACGAATGCGTAGCATTATCTGCATGTGTGTATTTTTTCTGTTTTATTTTGCACTCTATTGTCCGTTCACATATCAGTATGTTAATTATTATGTTTATTTTTATTCCTGTGGTAGACAATGGAATGGATGATGAATTGCATGGTCGAGGTAAGATATCATCCCAATCGTCCCAATCTTTCTCTTCTATTACTTTAATTATGCATGTCTTTAAGCATGTTTTATTGTAAAACTCTCTCTTATAATTAAATCTTTTTTAATATTAAGTAAATAACCTTTATTTTTGAAGAATAAAATATAAGATGACTTTTAAGTTTTAATTTAGCAAAATATATTTGATTTTTCCAGATGGACGAAGTTTCTCTAATCTATTGATTTACATCATAGTCGGTCTTTCGATCGTTTTTGTCACTGCTATATCAGTAGTGATTGTAATATGCTGTAAATGTAATCCAAGTTCGCCAGATCGCAAGAAAGGGTATGTTAATACTTCTAATCATAGGATAATGCATCAGAATAATACATGTTTTTATGACTTTTAGATACATGAAAGATACAAATCAGAAGACGAATATCAAGCCACCGGATTTGTGGATTCATCACGATCAAATGGAGCTGAAGGCGCTTGAGAAATCTTCGATAAATGGCGAAGCCTCCACCAGTGGCGTCACCAGTAATACATTACCTAGATCGGGCAATCAGGAATACAATCAAGATAATATACACGGGAATTCCAGTTCGCTAGATAAACGTACTTACGTGCCAAGTTATATGGGTAAGTCGTGTGAACTTACGAAGAATACGTTGCTACACTATGACGAATCAAACATCACAGAAAATATTCTAATTATATTACAAAGCTAACAGCAATCCCGTTTAATTGCACAAGTAAGAATTCCTTTGTTATAACATGGTTTTGATAATTTTACTTTTAAATTAAGTATTTCTATTTCATGCACAATCATTTAAGAAAAAAAAGATATTTTGGAAAGGGAGATTTTATATATTTGATTTACAGTTTTTCTGATTTTGTTATTTGGTTGCTTTTTACTTATTTTCTGTCAGGTAACACTGATGAGAAGTGCTCGACCCTGAGCAGGCAGCACAGTCGTGGAAGCCACAAATCTAAATTAATTACACTCCCCATTGACAATGCACCTTTGCATCAGCGTAAGTAGTAGGGTTATCACTCATACTAGTGCACAATATACCTGTATAATGTATATCTTTTTATATATTGGGAGCGATCAAACCATTTAAAATATTATTTTACAACAAGGTAAACGTGCAAGCAATGAAATGCATAATCTCTATCAATGTAGTTCCACTGTAGACATCAAAGTTTCTGATTTGTTACAGCCATAGCCACGGCTACGCCAATTGTGAATAGCAGCATGTCGCAGCCGACCATCCACACCTCTTGCAGCGATACATCGTCGGTGAGACAGAACTACCCGCGAACCGTCGCGCAATACAGCTTAAATCGCGCACACGTTACGTTGGAACCAACCCCTGAATCCAGTCCGGATTCTTGCATACCTAGCTCATACGAGCCATTACAGAATCAGGTAAGATTTCAAATATATGCATAATATGCGCGCATAAACCGTTATGCTTAGTGAAAATTGTGTTTTACTTTCTTATTTCTTTAGTTGTCATATGGTACGAGTGGACAGTCGTACAGTGGAAACACTCAATACGCCTCCGGTCATTATGGCAACAACACTCAACCGGTGAGCAGCGCCGTTGGGGAGAGCAACACAAGCAAACGGTTGCAAGGGCATCCCCTGAAAAGCTTCAGCGTGCCGGCTCCTCCGCCGCAGAGCGCTCCTTCAACACCAGCACAGCAGAAGCATGGTGGTTAGTACCATATATTGATTATACAATTCAACATAAAAGCTCAAAAAATCTTCAACCCTCCTTTCCTAGAGTGCGTTTAGATTTCCTTCTGAATGCTCCCCAGGTATCGTTTTTTTTTTATTGTAGAAGATAAACACAAAACTAATAATAATATAATGTCGTTCTTCAATTATCTCCGGATCGCCGAGCCCTATTAACAGTCATGAAAATTTACTCAGGTCCAGCCGTTTTCAATAGTATCTCGTCGATGCCTTATACTTAATTTTAAATAAAGTGAAAGTCAGTGCACACACGTATCGTAGTTATAACAAGATAAATCACTTAAAATAATTTTTTTTTACAATTTTATAATAACTTCAAATTTGTCAAAATTGTTGATGTAAGAAAATTTTGTAAGTTGAAAACTTACAAAGAATAATTTTTTCCAAATATACTGTGTTAATTTATTAAAACGCTAACAATTACTATTTTCTGTAATTATAGTGTCACATGTGACAGTAAGGCCAACGATGTCCGGGAGTCCATACAAGAAATCACAAGGTTCGTCGTCACAATTAACGAAGAATCGCTTAGCCTCTGTGACAAATCCAACACACACTTCGGAGGAAGTTGAACGGTTAAAGGTAAAAATTACAGATCTATTATATTGTATATCCATATATATTAGATATAATATGTATTCACTCTTGTAAACATAATATCATTTTGTTTGAGATCATTTCGCGCGATTGCGTCTTAATTATGGTATTTATTATGCTTACAGCCTTCGTATAGCACCGAAGAATTAAATCAGGAAATGGCCAACTTAGAAGGTCTTATGAAAGATCTAAATGCCATAACAGCATCGGAATTTGAATGCTAAAGTAGGTTCCTAAGCCTTGTGCCATCCTAACGTTCTCAATGTTAGTACCTGAAAGGTAAAGTTATTGTCACATTTTGCCATTTATGCTGAATTCTTTCCCATTAAATTTGTACGATTACTATCAGGATTACATGTAGAAAAACAAATGTTACACAATTAATTAGCGTCGATGAACGGCGCAATTAATACGTGATTCAAATTTTTTGAGTTAATGATATAATTGGGAAATGGCAAACAATCAAGTTAGATCATTCAGTCACGTTTCCTTTCTCCGGTACTAGCGTTGCTCATCTTAAGCGTGAAACTGAATATTGTACTTGCCAATGTGTAATCCAACAGCGTCACGTTCTTATGGTGTATTTTTGATAATGCGAGCAGGCAAGTACTTTGCCGCGATTGGCCGTTTGAAAAGGCTCGATGAATGCTTTCGTGTTATAGACGTTTACAATGTAATCGCGTGTAAATATGCTGGATGCATATTCTGATCGGGACATAATTTATCTAACATTTATCTCGATTATGACGTGTTTTTCTACGGTGTGTGAAAGTTAATATACGATGGTCAAGTAATCAAGTCGCATGAACAAAAAACATCGCGATGTTTTTTTTTCGTCATTTACATGAATATCCGGGGTGGCTTGACCGAAATTTAATAATACCCATTGAGTATACCACCTTGATCAAAAAGTTCCCGGAATTACCACCAGGTGATGCTTTGAGTCAGTTGATTTGAGTTCTGTTTTTTTGGTTAGGTTGCCACATCTATCATTGGGCGAGTTCAAGACTGCAAAGCGGCTAGGCATGCTTATCGAGCGATTGAATATGATTGGTTGGATCTATAAG